GGATGTTCAATATTTCAAAAAATCGTCCCGTTGTTCCGTTTTTTGTGCACACGCGAGTTTTCGACATTCAAACATTCATAACTTTCTTCATAATCAACTTTTTGCAGATGTCTAAGGCTAATTAGAAACTAGAAGATTAGCGCTTTCAAACAAGCACCTGAAAATTTTCCAGCGATCACTCTCTCAAAAAATAGTCCCGTTGTTCCGTTTTTGGGGGTTTGTGGTCCGATTTTTGAGAAGGCGCGAGTTTTCGACATTCAAACGTTCATAACTTTCTTCATAATCAACTTTTTGCAGATGTCTAAGGCTAATTAGAAACTAGAAGGATTAGAGCTTTCGAATAAGTGCTAAACTTCTTGAAATAATCACTCGCTCAAAAAATAGTCCCGTTGTTCCGTTTCCACCTTGATTTTTTTCAAGCCATTTTCCTGGACGCGACTATGCAGTCTTCAAAGGCCCATAACTTCCTTCAAAATTAATGTGATGAGAAGCGGTAAAGATGTTGGAATCCACTCGAAGAGTACTTCATAACAAGTGTGAAATTTTCCTGAAATTCTTTCTTCTGCCTCAATTTTCCTACGGCGTCTCTAGAACTCAATTCAGCAAATTCGCTACACTTTGTTTCGCTTAGATTTTATTTGAAAGCATCGAAAACTCTCTTCAGAAAGTTTGTGCTTACGGCCGCTGACAGAGGAGGCGTTTTTATGGAAAACGCCTGCTCGGGTATACGCCGTGCACCTATCTGTGGACAGAAGTCGCACTCGCATTTGAAAGTCCTCCATTTCCTGAAGAAGGTGTTAGTATCCTGAGTTGCAATGTACTGTCATATGGTACTCTTGTTTCACTCCCCCATGAACTGCTCTACACTTTGTTCTCCTTGGGATTTCAGGAATGTTCGATCATCGAAGACAGACCATGTTTTTGCACTACGCTGTAACAAAGTTTTTGGCTATTGTAATCTTGATCTATGCTGTCGAGCGAAAGCGCCGTCCGTGTATTAAGGATAATAATGGCTGATAGTGAGACTTATAATGCTCTGCATGCTCTAATGCTCCCATGGAGCTCTTGTCTGTGTGACTCTCCGACAGCTGCACGGTGCAGAGCTCCTGGAGAACATTAGAGCGTGAAAGTGCACTGCCGGACACTGCACTTTTCAAGCCGTCTTGCAGCCCCGTCTCTCTGGATACGACCCCCCCCTTTCGTTCGACCGAATACGACCCCCTCGTTGTTCTTTGCGCACACGGCGACCCTCTCCTAGGAGACGACGATTAGTTGCTGGCTGGCCATCGTGACTCATTCTGGAGCTATATACGTGGGGCAATAGGCGCAGTTGTGGGAGTAACGGTGGGATTACACACATATCCAGGACGAATCATTTTAGGCCAAGTTCTCTATCGTTCAATTCATAGTCATTTGAAAGCAGATTTTCATGCGATAAAAATGTTTAACAGCACACAAAGGGAACACACAAAACGGGATGCCCCTTTTAACCATCACTTTTCATTGTGCGCAGTAGATTTTGTTGCGCTTTGTGAATGCTACCACATGAGGGGAACCTCTTCTCGGATCCATAACCATTCTACTTGCATTCCGTGCCTTTGTTTGACTACGGTCACCGAACTCTACTCAGCTTTAGCGCTTCGTCTTCCACATAGCGTTATATTATGCTACGATTCTTCTACAGAATTCCAGAAAACGCTATAAGAATTTCATGGAAATGGGATGCTTTGAGAACGCTGAAAGTCGTAGCGTAGTCGTTTCCTTAGTTACTTGCTTCCCTATGGGCATTTTCCTTGAATTTCCTCTTCTCAACTATCTTTTAAGGCAATTACATTCTGATAGATGACATTTTTACCATAGTCACATAGTCTTGATTTTTCGGATCAGGTATGATTTGGTTCCCTAAATGCTCTACAGGTAAGATGGCGAAAATAATTCGGGATATACCCCTCCTTTTTATTCACCACGTAAGAGGGTAAACATACAAAAACCAAGTGCCGGAACGCTGCGGATCCCAGAACCCGGGGAGATGGATTTGCAACCTCATCATGATTCCTCGTGCCCATAAACCCCACCCCTGCTTCGACAACTTCACCCATCTTCTCAAATTCCACCCTAACAGCTGCTAAACATTATGAATCCCTGTTCAGACCCTTTTCACATATCTTTCCAGCTCTGGAATCTCTTACCGACGGCACTATTGCATTATTGCAACCCCAGTGGGGGCCGAGATGGGTCAAAAATAATTTTCGCTGGAACTTTTGCTATGGGGGTTATCGAGGGTCCTGATCACGAATATGACATCCTTTTTTGGCGTTGGCGCCAAATTGGCGCCAGCTGGACCACTACTGATTATCACCAAATTCGCTGTAAACTTCTGAATAGGGGTTATTTGGGGCCCTGATCACGAATATGACACTGGTTTTAACATTCGTGTTGTTTAACGCATATTTTCTGGTTTTCTAGGCTTTCTCACCTATGGCGCCTAGGACTAAGCTTAGGGGAGGGGAGTGAAACTCCGGAGTGGGTGAAACCACGCACCGTGTGGCAAAAATTCGAGTGTGTTAGACCACAGAGGAGTGGCCTACTCACTTTGGAGCCTCACTATAATCCAGGCTCAGTCCTAGATCTGGCGATTAAAATTAGTGCGGCGGGCGCAGTACGAGCAGAGAACTAGGCGGCTGATACCGCTACCTAAACAAAAACGAATGTCATATTCGTAATCAGGACCCCAAATAACCCCTATACAGAAGTTTACAGCGAATTTAGTGGGAATCAGTCGTGGCGCCACCTGGCGCCAAATTGGCGCCAGCGCCAAAAATGAATATCATATTCGTGATCAGGGCCCTCGATAACCCCCATAGCCGAAATTTCAGCGAAAATTATTTTTTGACCCATCTCACCCCTACTGGGGTTGTAATAGTGCAATAGTGCCAGGTTGTCTCATAATTAGTGTCGCTTTTTTTCAAACAAAAAGTTTTCTTCTAAATCCTTAAGCTTTTACATCGAGACATATACCATTCGAAAGAGAATTGTCTGCTCTACAAGATGCTGTTCTCTCTTCCACCTCTGTTCCAGGGTTTTCAAATTTTAGGCCTGCGAAATGGGAGGTCCCGCCGACAAAAATTGACCAAACCGACAACTAGCTCTAACTTTATCTTTCCTGCGGAGAAATCAATCAATGATGTACCCTCTACTTATGCATGACCTCTTCTAACATTACACTATTAGGTTTCCCAACAAGTCGCGTCGTTCCATTTCCAGACCTGGTTTTTCAACCAGAACTCGACGGTCGAGCACCATTACCTGAGATCTAGGTCGAAATTTTTTTATAGCCGAGACATTGAAAAACTAGTAAAATTTGAAGAACAATAAAAGTAATGGTTTTATATATATGATTAAACTTTTGTATTTGTGAAATTAAACTGTTTTTGTTTTTATTTTTCGATCTCAATATTTTTATATGTTTTATTCAAAATTTATTTAGGGGGTGGGATTCAAAGAGTAGTTTAGTCTCCGTTTGTCATGACTAAATAGGAGGAATGCACGACTGGTTGATTTTCTCATCTTCTCAGGGATAATTTTTTTCAAAGAAATGCGGTCACTTTCGTGGATAAAGCACCTTATTCCTAAACACCTAAAATTCGAACTAATTCCCAACAAACATAAAAACAAAACAAATGAGCGAATAGAGCAGAAGAAGTGCTCACAAAAGGAACACCACTTGATATGAAACAATGGCGTTTACGAGGAACAATTTCAATTTGAAAATTGCTATGGCTTATCGGTCAGCCAATTCGAAAAGAAACACGGCAAAGCTTTTTCGGCAACCTAAGAGTGGAATGTTTAGAAGAGGTCATGAGTAAGTAGAGGGTACATCATTGATTGATTTCTCCCAGGGAAATAAAGTTAGAGCTAGTTGTCGGTTTGGTCAATTTTTGTCGGCTGGACCTCCCATTTCGCAGGCCTAAAATTTGAAAACCTGGAACAGAGGTGGAAGAGAACATAGCATCTTGTAGAGCAGACAATTCTCTTTCGAATGGTATATGAATGTAAAAGCATGGGATTTAGATGAAAATTTTTGGTTGAAAAAAAGCGACACTATTATGAGACAACCTAATAATAAAAGCGCTTACTTGAATACTGATCAATAATAATGTCAGAATACTTTATTACACACCTTACTACGTAAATTATTATGTACAAAGACTTGTTATAATTAACTGAAAAGCAACTCGTACTGCTGGTTGTAAGTGCTTTGCTGTTATAAGCTCCCTCGGAATCGGATCAGCTATACATGTAGAGATTTAATTAATGGCCGATGACAAAATATACCAATAAGACTAAATTCATAGTTATTCTCGCAGAAAAAAAAGAAGAGGAATCAGCTCAGTTTTGGATTTTCCGCGCTAACTATTCAACAATTAACGCGCTGCACTGTGCAACCAACCATATATTGATATGGGCCGATAAGACTATCTACAACGCTTATTGACTATCTGGTACTATCACACATGGAAAGGTAAGAACTGGGTTAAAAGTTGAACAATCTAACCATAAGTGAAATTTACACTACGAAGGGAAGGTATAAGGCTACAGGAAAACTAGACAGGCTTAATATAAGCTAGGAACCTCAAATCTTCTCTGTGTCTTCGAGTTTGTTAGACGAAACAATTACTGACGTGATAACTTGTCGACTAGGATCGCCTTCCACAAAATCCTCAATGCAGCTTCACATTTTGAAGTCGCCTTCAGAGCCGATAACACCTCTCCGATAACTGTCGAATCATAGCTCCAGAGAAGCTAATTGCGACGTTAAGACGTCAATAAGTCGCCTTTAACAACCTCATCAAGACAAAGAGAGACAAAAAAGTAAAAGAAAAACATCAACACCGTTGTTTTCTGACGAAAGAAATGTAGGCTAAAAGACCATTTGACCCATAGAGACATTGAAAAAAATTGAAGGGCTATTCAATTCAGGGAATCCGCTGAGAGAGCTTTCAAAGTTCTGCGGAGACAGATTCCAGAAGCGGTTCATGCGCGCATTCGTCTATCTGAAAATCGAAAGTGAGGTTAGACTCCATGGGTGAACAACACACAACAGATGAAAACTGTCATTTGAGCATGCGTAGATATTACACCTCTGAACATCATATACATAGAAGGCTTATTTGAGGAGATCTCCATTTTCGAGACAATTTTATTTACAAAAACTTTCAGACATATCGCATTGTATCACCGCTCTTCAGTCTACATCTTGTAATTTCGTACTGCGCACCAAATCCGAATGAACAACCGTGTCAAATTGCAGTGATCATTCCAACAATCTGCCAAGCATAGCACCGAAAGGGAAAGGCCGAATGACGCCGAAACCCATCAAAGGAGTTGTGTATAAACTTATTGCATTCGTTCCCGCATGGATGCCCAATGTGTGATTAATATATGCAGCATACAAAGTTCCATGCATGACATCAATCCCCGTTGAGGAACAAGCCTTCAAAAACCATAGTTTCCGCACATTTAGACTCCTGGGGGGGGGGGGGCAAAGTGGCACGTCGAATGAAGTGCATGGTGAGACGGTCGCGTTAGCCGATGATTATTCGGCGGGTAGGAATAACATTCAACACTCAGAATTTAAACGAGGCCAAAACGACTTCCTAATGATGGCGCCTCAAGAAACAAATAGAAAGCGTCCCCCTGCCAATATTTGTGACGTTGTGCAGCGGGAATCTTAACGAATAGTAGTTTTCTTAGTTATTCTATATGGATTTCTTCAGCAAAATTCATGCAACTTTTTCTAGTTGTCAAATCACCGACCAGACCGATAATCGTGCAGTTTCTGTGTACGACCGTTTAAGATAACCATAGAACTACTAACGCGCTACAAATTGTAATGAAACATCCAGGGTGTTTTTGCATAGATCACCACGAAGAACTCCGAGTACTTTCGCATGAACTATGCATACACCGTTTCCTTAGGCAAGGGATACGCTAATTCGGTTGGCGGTCAACGAAAACGAAAGCTTAAAATACGAAAATAAAGGGCTTGTGTATATAACAAGCTTGATACATCCTGTTTCAAGGCAAGATGTGGCAAAACTCCAAACAAGAAAAATTTAGGGCAATGGTCGGTATGTACCTCGCTTTCTGATTCCTCCCCATTCTCAAGCACAGTTCGAGTCAGAGCAGTCAGTTTTTCTCGATTCTCTTGCCGTTCTGAAGCAGTGAACTTGCGAACAAAGAGCTGTCTCATCAGTTGACCTGCGGCTGTAGAGGGTCTGTCTGCTTGATCGCTCCGTTTTGGTGTCCATTCGTCACTTCCAAACATGGCCTACATAAAAGAACCATAAACTATACGCGTTGAAAAGATTAGCAAACACTTCATAGGCGGTATCGTTGCAATTTCGTACAAAAGCAAAAGATTTCGCAAACGACCAACCATTTCTTGAGTTTTACTCATCACCACCGCATCGCCGCGTCTTCTGAGACTTCTTCTTCGTCGGCGAGGTCTTTCATCGGGATAACATTTGTTGATGAAAGAAATGAACGGCATTGCAGTGCCGCCAAGGAAAAGTGTAGTGAACAGAATGAGAACCAGTGTGGTCGTTAAGATTACCGACTTCTTCTCTTTCTCTACTTCCATATACAGCACGAGAGCAAAACACACGGCACCACGCATTCCTATAAGAAAGAACAGCTACCTGAGCAAAATAGCTGGCATAGTCCGAATATAAGCACCCTGGTGATTTCCCTCCCCTCTTCCCTGAATCTCTGGATTTCTCACTAATATTTGGTACGAGGTTAAAAAATGTACTAACCACTAAACCACAAAACTATTTGGTTCTTCATCGAAATCTGCACTTCACGTCGACATTTGTTTACTGCGTAAGAAATAGGGAATATGTTCAGTGCTCGACTAACAAGACACAGCACCTGTGAAAAAAAGGTATGAAAAACCTATCTAGACTGGATTTTGCTGAGTAAAAAGGTTGAAAACTCGCAACAAATAAGACTAAAACGATGCAATGAAGTAAGAACTAGAAAGAAGAAAGGAAACAAAGAGTGAAATCTTACTATACACCAGAAGATAAGAGACGGTTGGAAGTTCAGCTTAATCGTGAAGAACGCCATGCCGATGTACGCAAATGTTGAAGTCTCTGAAAGACAAGTATTCGAATAGTTCTTTCGTGTGACTTTTTATGAAGAGACGCTTTGTAGAAAACCAATGCAGCTCATACTACATTTCGTGGAGAAAACTCCGAATTTGTCTCACACACAGGAACAACGTGCAGCACAGGAGGATCAGTCTCCAAAACTCATATCTTGGTCACGAGGCTACGCCACCGAGCCATGTAGAGCTGAGTTTTGGGGACCATCCCTGGCTCGGGCTTGCTGTACGCGGCCTAAGAGCGACGTCATTTCCTGTCATGATGCCACGCATTGCAGCTTCAGTTTTCTGTAGAACCAAATAGCCGAGAGTGACACGACGGCTTCGCTTATGCCGGATTACGATACTGTAATCTCTATAAGATCCGCAAACAAAAAAAAGAATGGGGTACAAACCTGCAACGAATGAAATGGTTCGGAACGTCTGCCGAAATGTGATTTGAGTGACTGGACTAATACTCTGTTGTGTATACTGTGACATTGTGATCCCGCAGAACAATATGGCCATAATACCTAGAACGATGGGGCGATTAAACTGCAAAATCACAAGGCATGAATGTCTACAACAGACCTGATAGGGACAATGCTTCCGCGAAGCCATACGGAATATATGCAAACACCAGGAGAAGGGCGAATTCAAGAGAAGGAGTCCTTCTGAGATCGACATGTTTGAACAGCTGAAACGAAACCTATGAGGCTGGCGTAAGTGTCGCAATCCGTCCGGCGAACGCGACAACCACGAGACCGCGTCTCTGACATCGGCCTAACTCTGTTTAGAAAATGGTTCAACAGCTTTGGAGAGTAAATATGTAACGGGGTACACCACGCGCAAATGACCGGTATGACTTGTTGACATTCGTTTGTAGTATAGCTGGATACAGAATCCGCGATACGTCGTGCACGCGCGGACTCTGACACCAGCCTGAAGTCGATGAGACACCCTCTGTAGGGATAGACATCAGCTACTTCACACATTGATTACACTCAATACAAAGAACGATCCCGGCGTCCTTGCTCCACGCTCATGACTTGGAGGCACTATTCCCGAAAAGGTGATCGCCTTGAAATGTGAAATAAGGGGTGTCAAATGGCGTATCGCCAATGGCGATCAATATGCAGTTGCTGTTTCAGTAAATAGTAACATTGCACACGGGAAAGAAAATCAAAGAGGCATAGCCGTTACGCAATTTTTCACCAGGTGATGGGCGTTTTCGAGGAGGGGATGCGCTATACATGGCAGGGCGATGCACCTTCGCCTCATTTATGGCGCACCATTCCCTCTCATGGATATATGGTTGGTTTTATGATTTTATCACGATTTTTGACATTAAGAAAATTGTGTAAAAAATTCCACTTGTAATCAAAACGCACCAAAGCACTGAGAAGTCCAATGGCAAGACCAAGCACAGCTGAGAGTGTGAACATCGCTAGGAATGTAATTGAAACACTTGTGAGAATTTCCGACGGTCCCAAACTTAAGAAAAAGAGCTGAATCACCTCCAAGGTCGAAGCAAATATGAAGCAATAAGCGCACAAAAATAAACTAAAAACCTGTTAAGCGGCGGATGTGAATGGCGTATAGCTGTTGCTGTTAACACTATAGAAACGGCATCATTCAACATCGATTCGCCAAACACCAGCATGTACAGCAATCCTTCAACCTGAGGAAAGTAAAAAGAAATAAAAAAGAAAGGAAATTAGACTCTCCACTTCAACGCAAAAATGGTAATCTCATACGTTAACAGTACCTTCGAAGGAGTGATAACTAGTGGATTTCCCTATTCGAAGGTTCAATTCAAACTATACGGATTTTTATGAACTAGGTATGCCTATAATAAAGAAGAAGTCGCACCTTTACCGCTTGGAAAATCGCCAAAGTCGCCACGGGATCGACAGCTGATATTGTAGAAGCGAAAGCAAAACATTCAAAAATAGAAAACTCATAGACTAGATCTGCCTAGAATTAAAAAGAGCAAATGTTAGGAAATATTCAAGTAGAAATCAAATGGAGAAAAACCTACTTGACCAAGAATGTATATACAAAATCCAATTACAAGTGCCGAAATTGCTGTTCCTAATATGGCAAACGAGAGAATCGGCCCAATGTTCGAAAAGAAGTAACCCTTGTTGAGATTATAGGCATTTTCAAATATTATTGGAGGTAACAAAACCAGGAAAAATACGTCTGAAAAAAATAGATGATAACGAAGATTTCCACTTATAGGAAGCAATCCTAAAATGAAATACCTGGGCTCAAAGCTTCAATCTCGCTCCAGTCATGATCCGAGTAGGAAAGTATTGATCCTACGACCGCTCCTAAACATCAAAATTCATGACCAAATGAATGGTAAATTAACAACAAGAAATAAAAGTAAACAAAAGCGAGGTCTTTGTCCGACGGTGGGGCATCTGCTGACGAAAATGCTATTGACAAAAGAGAACATGTTAGAGCCTGTCATATATACTGAAGCTATACACTTATAGTTAGCAATCTAACGATAAGGCATGTCAAGAACTGTGACGTATTCTGAGAGGAACTGACCTATTTCCTGCCCTACCTCTTTTTTCTTTTTTTCCACATCTGAAAAAGTGGCGCAGGATATCGGGCTTCCCTAGGACTAAGCCTCGGGGTGGGCAGGAGCTACGAAAAAGATGAAAATCACTCACTCTGGAGTCTCCCCTTCCTCCGCCAAGGCTTAGTCCCTTTTCTAACAAAAAACAATCGTTTGACGCGGTTTTACTTACGTGCGTTGTCGTCGCATGCTCGCATCTCTTGCGATAGGGCCTTATTTTGTTAAGAGCACTTTCTTCGAAGCTTTAGATGAATGTTGGTTCTTAACATGTTCTGGTTTGTTTGCTGTTAGAAAGCGTTGCTCTTTTTTTAACACGTTTTGTTTCGTTAGCAGGTTGCAGCAGCAGATGCCCGCCGTGGGACAGCAGATCCCAAAAGCTAAACAATATGCACGCACCCAGAATAACAATAGCGAGACTTTCCGGAATAAACTGAATCTTCGATATTATCAGGAGATGAACAATTAAGATCGCAAGCACAAGAATAAATAATATAAAGAAGATCGCCTGAAATGTCACAACATTTATTGGCCGAATTATAGTTGCATTACTGGAGAGTTGAAATTATGTACCAGAAATTTTAACTGAGAACGAAGAGGGAACATTATTGATGAATATTCTCAGAAAGGTACCTGTTGGGGGTAGGCCGAATGCGCCATACATTCTCATTAAATGAACTTCAGTATATTTGTGTACACTGTGATAGTGGTGATGGATCATCACCACATAAACATGATGCTTATATAAACCTTCACGAGTATGGTTGCATTCACTTTTGGTCTCGTCTATGCCTACAAATAAAGCTTCTACTCAGCTCGTCGAAGACATAACAAATGGCGATCAGGAGTTCAAGAACCCCGCCAGTTCAACGACGGAAGGAAGGTTGCCAGTCAACGATCTGCTGCAGATGATGGCCACACAGCAGAAACTACTAGTCGATCTCCTGCAGAAGATATCTACGCCGGCAGCAGCTCAGCAAGAGTCCGCTTTTGACCGGATGGCAAGAAGAATCGACAAATTCTCGTACGACCCGGATCAGGACGACTGCTTCAACTTATGGTATAATCGACACAAAGATATATTCGACATCGACTGCGAAGGAATGGAAGAGAAGACGAAAACTAGATTGCTTATCTCTGCCTTGGACGCCGTGAGTCATACTAGATTTTCTCGTTTCATTCTTCCAAAAGAGCCTAGTGAGCTGAGTTGGACAGAAACGCTCAACGCTCTGAAATCACTTTTTGGAACTAAAAAGAGTCTCTTTCGCCGTCGCTTTGAGTGTTTTCGGATGAATTTCTCACCCAATGAAGACATCGACAACTTCGTCAACTCGCTTGAAAGCCCGTGCCTTGGAGGCCAACTTCAAGGACATTAGACATGAAACTTTGGAATGTCTCGCAATGGTATTCGCCTTCCAAGCACCGGAACTAGCTGATTACCGCGTTCGTTTTCTCCGCAGATTAGACGAAGATGAAAAGATCACCATCGATGACTTAGCCAAGGAATATCACGCCTGGAAGTCCGTCAAAGATGATTCTAAGATAGTCGAAGTTTTCAACGCACCTGAAGTATGTGCAGTTCGAAAGAAAAAGAAGCATCGTCGATCTTTTACAGCCAAAGCTAGATCCCCGCCATCACCATGCCCAATCTGTCAGCAGAATCACTGGAAGAAACACTGTCCACAAAACCGTCCTCCTCCCAGTACCACTCAAGAGTCGAACAATACATCACGAC